AACTCTCAACAACCGAAACCGAAACCACAACAACCGAAGGTGGTTACTGAACCGAAGGGGAAAAAAGCTTCAGGTTCGGGCATGCAGGATACGGGAAAAGAAGTTGCTGATGACATTGATGATGAGGATGATGTTGATATTGAAGAAACGGTTCCTAAACCAAGTTCTCTCAAAGCCAAGCCCACTGCTCAGGAGATTAAGGAAAAAGTCATTGATGCCCTTAATAAGGAGAATGAGAAGAGAGAAGCGAATCTGCTTAACTAGAGGAAATCGATGTTTCCTCTGTGGACGTTGGAAAGGCTACGAAAGGAGGTTATTGAAACTCCAAGTTCACATTGGCTGGAGCCCGTTCTTTCATTTAATGTCGAGAATTCTAAAGATTCCCAGTTTGACATGCCAATCACTCGTAGAGCCTTCATCTTATACTGCTTCGAGTCTATAGTGACGATTCCTTCTCCTGACCCGAAGGTTGATCAAGACTTGCTTGAATATTATCATGAATTCTCTCAACCTCAGTACCTTACCTGGAGTAACAAGAAGATCACAACAATTAAGGTGCTGAAACCTACTGCAGCAAGGAAGTTCATCAACATCAAGTTCAATGTGACCCGAGGATCAGATGGTTCGGTCCATATGATTTCCCTTGCTGATCTGCCAAATCTGAATCCACACGATTGGATTCTTCTGAACAACATCCTACTCTCCAATCAGAAAGAATATGATCCCATCATTGATCACATCAAGCGTATGCTAGTGTGTTACATTCATGAAGTGGCGAAGATGGATCAGGAGATTGCCACTGCTATACGCAAGAGGCCCTTAATCAAGCCTGTTGGGAAGGCTGGTGACACTAAACTGATGGTGAAGGGAAAAATTGATCCACAGTCTCACACTGTCAAGTTTCTTAGAGGCGAAGGTCAAAGATGCTTATTTGCTCTGGCTGACAAACATCTATTCTCCAATTCCTGTTTGGAGCACATTCTTGAGCTTATCCATGGGTGTGATCAAAATAGTGAAGCAGACAAGAAGCTGTTCTCAGTTATGCTTCGGTGGTATATGGCTTTCAGACAAACTCTTCTTGCCATCATTCCAAAATTGTTCAAGGTTGTGAAGCGAACTCCTCAACCTCCACCGAAGTGAAGTCTCGCCCCATTTGATGCAAAGGGGGAGATTGTAGGGTCTAGTAGTGTTGCGTCCTTGGGCTCGGTCCTTAGCCCAGTTTTGTTATCCGGTTTGGGCCTGTCCAACCGTATTTATTTTATTAGGGTTTAGTATTTAAGGTGCATGCATGCATCCTTTGTTGGTAGCGCTTTTATTATTCTTATCATTGTACTACAAACCCTAGCTCGCCTCTACAGTGGAAGTTCTTCATCGAGCTCTGATGAGGCGTGACTACATTTGAATCATTAAGCATTACTTGATTCTATATCGTGTTTATTGTGTTTGTTTGCTTTTATTGTTTAGCCTGTTGAAGATCTAATCGATCTAAGAGTTTTTCAACTCATCAGGTTTTTCTTTGCTCAGTGATGACATTGGTAGGGATGGAAAAATTAGGGAGAAGATGCAAGAGGTTATTTGGACTGCGTGGTTCAACTCCTGCCTTCGTGATTGCGAATCTATTGTTCATTTGGTATGCTTATGTGATTGTAATTGGACAAGGTAACCTCTTGATTTCAGTCGTCTGTTATGCTTTACCCCCGATTTCATTTGTCTTTTTGACTGTGTTTATTTAACTTCAAAATTGATAACCAAGCTAACAAACAAATCAAACAAAGGAGTAGGGATCATAACATCTTCTTTCGTGTTTATCCAACCAACCACTTCTCTGTTTTACAGCCGTCTCTTCTTTATTGGACATCGTCTTCAATGTAGAGCTTATTATGCTCCAAATCGGCCTATATAGGTATGTGGTTGTTACAACGTGGTTAATATCTCTTTTTATATTCAAAATTTCGTTTGACACATAATACATGAGTGTGTTCTTGATGGCAGAATCATGTCAAATGATCATGGTTTTGTTAATTGTAAGCCTGATTCTCTCTCTAACAATGAAACATATCCGAAGGTAACTATCACTAAGATGTTCCCATTTAAATTGCTAAACATTTATGATGATCTTGTTTAATCGTTCAGGGATCAGAGCTCCTAATATCTGATATGGATCAGGGATGCCCCTTTGATGAGGTTGCTAATATACTTCCTTTACTTTTTGAGCTGTTATATATGAACTAAAGATGCTGAAGTACTTATTATTTATGTTATAACAGAGTCCTCTATTACTTCAGCGGGAAAGATATTGTAAGCACTGTGATGCACATGTTAAGGGATTTGACCACCATTGTCCTGCTTTTGGGAATTGTATAGGTAACAACTTTAACACATTATTGTAGTTGAATGTTATGTTAAGAACCCTCTTTAGATAAATGGGATGCTACTGTTTTAATACAGGCCAAAACAATCATCTACTTTTCATGATTCTCCTAGTAGGATTTATAACAACTAAGGCTTGTTACATTATGGGTGCATCATAGAGTAAGCTTTCATCTGCAAAACAAGATTTATAATTTTGCTTATCTTGTCTGAGAGTAAAGAGTAGGTATGTCAATGTTTTCCCAACAACCATTTTGAATCTTGTTATATGGAAAACTTGTAATTATTTTGATTATGTATCCAAAAGGTTGGTTGGAATGAAACATTAGTTTCTAGCACAATGATATTCTCCATTCTGCAAGTGCTATGACAGGTGCATACTTGGTTTTCATTACATTCTATTCTTGTAGATATACTCATATAACATACTGAGTACTGACCTTTTGTTTTATGAAATTATTACGGGGTATTTCTGGCATGACATATATATTGTGTTAGTTTCAATATCAGAACATATGAGTTTGTAAGTTGTATAATTTTTATGGTCATATCTAACTTACCTTTGTCTGGATTAATAATATTTAAAAAACATTTGAGAAAATGATGACATACTTGCATATACATTGGAAAAGATATCCAGAGTTTAAGCATATTGTACAACCTCAACCAGGTACATTTTAATTATGTCCCTCCATTATCTTAAACAAAGAAAATTGACACTTTGACTTTTGACCTATATGTACTAATGATCATCTTAAACAAAGAAAAATGCATATGCTGTTATGGGTAAAGATATGTAACTGCATTGAAATTATGGTAAAAAGTAAAGTATATTTCCCATATTGGTAAAAAGAGTATGCGACCATTTACTGAATAAATTTTAATCATTCAGGGGAGACGATAACATTATCAAAGTTTATAAATCCATATGACAAAGGAAAATTTTGCAGAATTTGAAGGAGTTCATTGATGTCAAAGGCTAAACGAATTGAAGTTTATTGTTGTTGTAAATTAGTTAAAGCATCAAGTTTTAAGGTAATGTTCATAATTTTATCACCATCTTTAATTATATCTATTATGGAATATAGATTAATATATTTCTTGAAAGTAAACAGTTAAGTAACACAATGTTTTACTCCTTGACAAACAAGTTACACATTTACTTATAGTTGAAAATAAAATAAGATTACTAGTTAGAGAGAACAATAGCATCCCAAATAGCTAAAAAACATTTTATGACATGACAAATGAGTCTTGCTTATTATGCTATATCTGATCAACCATGAAAATTTCGTAAAACTCTGACACCAAAATCAAGTTCGGTAAAACGCGACAAAAGTGACGAAAAATAGGATTTTTGACACCAAAATCATTTGTTAATTTATGGAATAGATGTAAACATACTGGGTTTTAAAAAAGATTTAGGTCGGTTTAAAAAGAGATCGTATTTTGATTAACAGTTGTCAAATCTGATTGAGAAAAAACCAGATTGGATCCAAACCGGGTTTTGGGAAAAATAATTTATAAAGGTCAAACCGGATAGGCATTGGATTCAAGCTGAATTGGGTAAAACCGGTTTAAAAACGAATTTTTTTTTTATAAAATTTTCGATTTTAATATTGTAAAAAAAGAAAAAGAAATTGCAGTACATCTTTAACTCTAAAATTAGAAAAACAAAGCATGTCTAATAGAAATAGTTGTCATCGTTGTGTTTGTAGTTATAGTAGGGGTCGTTGGTCGTTGAGTAAATATTCAATTTTTTGTAATTGTCAATTTAGTCGTCAATGGTGTGTACTTATTCGAAGGTGAGTTATCTGTGGTGAGTGGGACCGACATGCCTATAGTTATTTTTTTCGTATGTATTTGTTGTTCGACCATATGCTATCGAGTATACCCAAATCATAAGAGATATTTTTTAATGTAAACTACGTTTTTAAGTAGTATGATGAACCAACACAACTAACATGACAACATCTATTTGTACTAACCGATGAGGGGCAAAATGGTCAATTTGACCATAAAAGCAATTAGTGACCACTATGTATCCACTTGAGAATGATAAAAAAAAAATTAAAAATATCCTCCAATTGCTAGTACTACAAACTGGACACAACGATCGTATACTCAATCTGAATCCAATATGATATGTAGATCTTAATTCAGACTAGTTTCCAGTTCAAACTGATTTTTTTAATGCACATCTAATTTGTAAGATAACCAAAATTCGCAAAAAAAAAAAAGGAATATATATTTTTATCATTTTAAGTTATTAACAATCAATATAACATAGTTTTTAACTACATATTATTAAAAGTTTATATTTCTACAATGTTAACTTAATAAGTATAATATATATATTTTTTCTATTCTTCTTTCAAATTTTCTAATACTCTTGCATATAATGAATCAAAATATTTTAAGTAAAACTATGAAAATATTAAATATTTGGTTAAAAGGAAAAAAAGTGACAGTTAAATCGAAAATATTACCATTTATTTTGGCCAACAGGCCATGTAACTTTAAGTAGAATCAAATCAATTATCCTATTAACGGACACAGATGCGAAAAATCGGGGCTGTCGGTACCCACTTTTGTAAAAATTGGGAATCTCTAGATTGCCCGTCATGTATCAGACACCTGCCCGTTAACCTCTCATTATCTCTCCAACTTAAACGTGAAAAAAACCGCTACCACTCTCTTGCTCCACCATTATCACCACCACCACCTTATCACTGGGTGGTTGCGGATGATTCCGGTGGACCTCCGCCATTTTTCTCCCTAGCATTTAAACCCTCAAAAAGATGGGTCAGGGGCTTAGTTGCAGGGTAAAAGACGAGCATTGGTTGTTCACAGCCGTGCAGTCAGGCGATTTGGAGACTGTAAGGAGTGTTTTGGAGAGAGATCCCGATCTTATTCAACAAACCACCGTCAACGATCGCCATTCTGCTCTTCACATAGCTGCTGCCAATGGCCGAATCGAGGTGGGTAATTCAAGAATTTCTTCATGTTCTTACTTCATTTTCTGTTTTTCCTTGATGGATTCGTTCAATGCTTCATACAATTTGTCGATTTTTGGTCAGATTGTTTCTATGCTTTTGGGCGATCAGTTAGTCAATCCCGATTCCTTGAATCGTCATAAACAGGTGTGTCAGGGTACTCTCTGTTTGAATTACACTTCAATTTTGATTTTATGTCAGTTTCATGAATCCAATGTGATGTATGGTTCATGATCTTATGGAAATTGGGTGATTTTCTTAATTCTCACCTTCTTCTTCTACTGATTTTGTGTAATTCGGTGATGGGTATCACTTGTTAGACTCCATTGATGTTAGCTGCAATGCATGGGAAGATCTCTTGTGTACAAAAGCTCATTGAAGCTGGGGCCAATGTATGTCAATTTCTTTCCTTTTACATACCTCAAAAAACACATGCATGTATCTGTTTTCAAGATCATTGTTCGAAGTCAACAATGGTGATACTGTTAACAAATTTTCAGATTTTGATGTTTGATTCACTGAATGGAAGAACATGTTTGCACTATGCTGCTTTCTATGGCCACTCTGATTGTCTTCAAACCATTCTTTTAGCTGCCAGGACCTCCCACATTGCAGTTTCTTGGTAGACTTTCCTATTCTCTTTTAAATTAATTTCTTTTACATGTAAATTAACGAACTAGTGATTTATGACGTAAAATTAATTTACAATTTGAAATGTGTTAAAAAGGGGATTTTCAAGATTTGTGAATATAAGAGATGGTAAAGGAGCAACTCCATTACACTTAGCTTCACGTCAACAACACCCTGATTGTGTTCATATACTTTTAGATAATGGAGCTCTTGTTTGTGCCTCTACTGGTGGATATAGGTAACATTTCTTCTCAAATTTCTGATTTTCAAGATTTTTTTTTTTAATGAAAATCAATATTGATTTACAGCTTTCCTGGTAGCACTCCACTTCATTTAGCCGCAAGAGGGGGTTCAATCGATTGTATCAGAGAATTATTGGCATGGGGTGCAGATAGACTTCAACAAGATTCATCTGGGTAACACTTTCTTCAAAATCATTTGCAAATCCTTAATCTTTTTAGCAAAAAGGTTCGATTTTTATCATCTTTTTCGACCTCAAAACTTAATTTGTTAACCTTTCTCACTAAATGCAGAAGAATTCCATACATGGTTGCTTTAAAGCATAAGAACGAGGCATGTGCAGCATTGCTAAACCCTTCATCAGCAGAGCCTCTGGTGTGGCCTTCACCATTAAAGTTCATTAGTGAGCTTCATCAAGATGCAAAAGCCTTGTTAGAACGAGCTCTAATGGAGGCCAATAAGGAGAGGGAGAAAACAGTCTTGAAGGGCACCAGTCACTGGGTTCCATCTCCATCACATTATGATTCCGATGGTATAGATGACAATATCTCTGAGGTAAGCTCAAAACTTACGGCCTGTTTCATATGATGGAATGGAATGAGTGATTACATTCCATTATTGAGTTTAGTCGGCTTGAAGGATTGAAATATAGATATCTAGGATTTTCATTTCATGCACAAACACGTAATTTTAGTTTTTAATTTCAGGTAAGCGAAACGGAGGTATGTTGCATATGCTTTGATCAAGTATGCACAATAGAGGTTCAAGATTGTGGGCATCAAATGTGTGCTCAATGCACTCTAGCTTTGTGCTGCCACAACAAGCAAAATCCATCAACTCCGCCAGTCTGCCCCTTTTGCCGGAGCAAAATTGTACGGTTGGTGGCGGTGGAAGTTAAAGCCGCCCATCAAAAGGCTTGGAAATCAAGAATGCCTACAAATTGCATTGAGGAAAGCTGTGGGCTATCGGCTGTATCCTCATTTGGAAAAGCAAGGATTGATCAATGCATTGATAAAACATGAAAAATGTCAAATTTATGTGTTAGCAACATTTTGGTTGAATATAAAGATCTGTGCCATATTGGGTATATGTATAAAGGATCTCTTTGTTGTATAATTTTCTTGTGGGGTAATCAGCAAACCAAAGGGTAATTTTCTTGGTTAGTAAGTTCAAGAGTCATTAATGTTAATGTTGCATTACTAAAAGATCATTTCAACCCAATATAAAAAAAAAAAGTGTTTGTAATTTTAGTGTACATTATATTGTGTTTATATGTGTATCTTGTATAGCCCAGTATAGTAGTCCGGTAGATTAAGCCCGTATACGCTTTATATAACATTATTTATTTTGATGAATGTATAAATACAGGTAAGTTCCTTTGAAGGAAGAAATATAAGAATAATTATCTACAAGATACAATAATAAATGCTAGAAATAATTATGTGTTTTATGCTAATACACATCTTTCTTAAAATGCATAAAATACATATGACTATTGGTTTTAATAAACTACTAGTTCTTAAACAAATAATAATCTAAAACACGAATTTTGAATAACATTGTTTTTAAATATTATGAGAACGATTGTTGTATAAAGCAAGATCCGATGTATCATGGTCAATGTGTCTCCGGCAAGATTTAATAAGTGATAAAGTGATTTTAGATTTTAGAAATCAAACACCAGCATCAAATTTATATGCTCCGTACATTTATTCATCACTACGTACTAGAACAATTTGGCTACCGTCGTACATTTTTATAATATTTTTATACAAGTCTTGTTTTTATTTGTGTTGAAGGTCATCTTTTTTTTTTTTTTTTTATAAAAAGACTTTATTCAATTTAAATATATAGATGATATAGACCTAAGACCCATATATATGTGATGGATTAAAAGTTAAAACAACCAGATATCATACATGTGATATGACAAAAACCCATCATTAATTCATGTGAATACACTTTTTAACTTAATTCAGGTGGATACACTTTTTAACTTTATTAAATTAGATTTAGATGTTAAGTGATATTTTATATGTATATTAAACAAGGCAATTATATATTTCTACGTGCATTAAAACATTGGCTGTTCACAAAATGAACCAAACAAATTAAACCCCATTATGAGTAGCAAATATGACAAATTCTTCACAAATGCACCCAACATAATTAATCTCAAGCTGTAACAAAGATAGGAAAGAAAACTAATTAAGTTTCAAAAACATGGAGGTCTCAATCTTCTACCCTCGTTCCTTCCATTAGAGTCCAAACCCGAACAAGGGCTTGACTGGGTTGGAGGCACAATTCGTCCATCCACAAACAACGAATTTGATAGCTCCCCAAAAGGTTGAGCTAACGCAAGCTCATCAGGTCCATATATCAATGGACCATGCTCATGACCTCGTCTGTGCTCCTGAGCAACTCTTCTTTCTACTTCTAGTAATCTTCCAAGGGGTACAGTGTTGTTTCTAGCGATATCAACATCAATGTCTTTTCGGCATAAACAAAAATTGAAACACCAAAGTTTTGATTTGAGGTTTGATCTTTCGTTGTTTCCTAAAGTTATGGTTTCTGAAGTTCTCCTACTTCTTAAAGATCTTCTTGAGAGCTCTACAATGCTTGAAACACCCAAAAGATTTCCTAATGTGATGCTCTTGTCATGAAAGAAAGACCCTGTTGACTAGATACAACCAATAATAATCTCAAAATAAGGTCACAATATTTTTAACTTGATTTTGGGTCAAATCCAATAATGTAATGCTATATATAACCACTTGCAATTGTAATGGAAGTTGTATACTGATATAGCCATATAGGTTTGTTGTAAAAAGATGCCTTGCTAGCCTTATTCTGGTATACCAAACATACCCATATAAGGGATGACAGTGACATGTGAAGGGCACAAGCTTCTTTCGGGGTCAGAAATGTCATTTTAAATGTCACATAGATTCACTAGCTTCAAGGAAAAGCAATTGATCATCTACTACCAAGGGCAGAAATTTGGTGTTATCTTCCATATGTCTTTATATATGTCTCATTCCAAAAGAAGCTTGGACTGAATGAGACAACTAGAAATACGAAACAAGAAATGGCTGATGAATCATGTACTAATTTTTAAGAACTCTTGTGACTTCAAGATTCTCATCATTTATTCTTTTATACATGGCTCTCTCTCTCTCTCTCTCTCTCTCTCTCTCTCTCTATATATATATATATATATATATATATATATATATATATATATAAACTCATTAATTTTTAGATTGAAATGTTATATGAAATGTTTTTAGTGTCATGAAAATTGCACTCTATTATATATATTTAATATTTTAGCCTTTTAGAAAAATGGGAGAGATTTAACTTTATAACCATTATATATATTTGTAAGGGTAAACTTTATAGAATTCATTTGGATTGTGAAATTATTATTATTATTATTATTATTATTATATATTCCATATAATTTTATTAGTCTTTAAGACTAATACATTTGAAGTCTACAAAGTTCAATAAAATATATTTAAATATTTATTTGAAAATTAAATTTTTTTTTATTTAAAAAGTTTAATGACCATTGAACTCCAAATAAATTAAATGTGATGACATCTTACAATAATATATTTCTAGGTTTGCAAACTCATTCAACTTTTCCATTAAACTTTCCAGACCTCTAAGATTTATAATATGGATCCTTATGTGTTTTGTAGCCTTTTAAAAAATGGAAAGAGATTATGATTTATGATGAATCTCCAAATATGTTGGTCATGTTACCGGTTCAATAAAAAAATGCAAATTTAGGAAGTACTTTCATTGTTTACCGCTATGTTATGCGTGAAAACGAAATATAATTAAAGTAATGCTAAATCTATGTCAAAAAGGCAAATTCTTATATTACAACCTTTATCATGTTGTTGTACCATTTGCTTCTGAGTTCGGCCAACCTCAGAAAGCGTAGGTATCCAATTAGGTACCAACATGATGAAACCAATCACTGACTCTAGACGTTCTTAATCCTGAAAAATCATGACTTTTTCGACTCAATGGAGGAAGTTGGATCCAAAATTAGATTATTCTAGCAAGTTTCAACCACTTCATCACCGGTGACAGGCAATGGATTAATAAATAAAAGAAAATAACGCAATAAACATTGAACACAAACACAAATCAAACCTGTGTATCTACATCTGAAGAAGAATCTGAGGTTAATGCAGGTGAGCCACTGAGCAAAGTGTTGCATGAGATTGATCCTGAGAAGTCATAGTCTCCTGGTCTCATATTCAAAGGCCGCAGTCCTAAAGGCCACCCCCCTTCTTCCTGCATTCAACTCAAAATGAACAACAAAAACGCAAAAAAAAAAAAATAATAATAATAATAAACGCTAAATGTGTATCGTCAGTAACAGTGGCGATAGGAGATACCTGTTGAGCCATGTAGAAGCTGAAAATGGTTTATCGGAGTTGATGAAATATGGTAACTAGGTATAGTTCAATCAAAGAGAAAAGTGTCATATATCATATCAGTTAGAGGTGTTCTTTTTCTTAAATAAATACAATGAGAATTTGATGTTTTGGCGATGAACAGATGGGTGTTATATGGCTTCAAAGAGTAAAAAGACTGAAGCATGATGGGGTCAAAAAGGAATGGTGTGGAGATGGGACATGTCTTATTATTATATCAATTCAAAACACCCTTTTCCCATTTGTTGTCTTGCTTTTATTCTAGGGTATTTTATTGTTTAAGGAAAAGAATAAGTATATCACCTGCTCTTCTTAGTCTATTTATAACTGGAATATATAACCTTTTTTGAAACTTAAACCATCAATCTAGGGCAATAAAGCCGGGTGCAATGAAATTTGTACAATCTAGACATTATAATTGTCTTATTATTATTATTTTTTAATTATTTGTAATTACCTTTTTTGTTGTACATATATATAGGCTTAAGAACTGCTAGATTAAAACCTGATGCGTGGTCAAACTTTATAATGGTTAGTGTACAAGGAAAGATTATTGACTCATTACATGTTGAAAATTGTAGGTTTAGGTAAGGTGTGCAACATCAAATTAGGTTTGATATAATAGTTTGAACCAAACTATTGTAGTGGTAGTTCTCTCTCTCTCTCTCTATATATATATATATATATATATATATATATATATAATATATAATATATATATATATATATATATATATATATATATATATATAGAGAGAGAGAGAGAGAGAGAGAACTGCCACTACAATAGTTTGGTTCAAACTATTATATCAAACCTAATTTGATGTTGCACACCTTACCTAAACCTACAATTTTCAATATGTAATGAGTCAATAATATATATATATATATATATATATATATATATATATATATATATATATATATATATATATAAAAAAGTTCAGTTAAGAAAATAAAAAAATTAAGAATGAATGAATCATTCTCAACCAATCATTTATTTTTGTCACAAAACTCTCTATGTACCATTGGAAAGGAAAATGAAATACATGTGTGTTTTTTAAAGTTGTAATATGTTTCCTTAAACTATATTAATCATTACCTTAGTGTATACAAACAACTTATTTTTTGTTTTTTTTAAATTTTTTAATAAGTTAGTTTTATCAAAAATCGATTTTTAAATATATCAAAATTCATATTTTGTATTCTCTATAAATAGAAATTCATATTGATATAGTTTTAACATAAAATATTTTTTTATAGTTTCAGCCCACATTATTCATAAGTGAATAATAATGCATCAAATTTTTATTACAATACATTCGTTATTCACTTATTAAAATTTTTAATAAGTAGTTTTTATCAAAAATCAATTTTTAAATATATTAAATTTCATAATTTTGTATTCTCTATAAATAGACATTCATATTGATATAGTTTTAACATAAATTTTTTTTTTATAGTTTCAGCTCTCATTATTCATAAGTGAATAATAATGAATCAGATTTTTATTACAATACATTCGTTATTCACTTATTAAATTTTTTAATAAGCTAGTTTTTATCAAAAATCGATTTTTAAATATATTAAAATTCATAATTTTGTATTCTCTATAAATAGACATTCATATTGATATAATTTTAACATAAAATATTTTTTTTTATAGTTTCAGCTTTCTTATTCATAAATGAATAATAATGCATCCGATTTTTATTACAATACATTCGTTATTCACTTATGGATAAAATGTATGCTTAATTTTTTTATAGTTTAAGTATCATTCATATATGAATATAACATATAATAAAGTTTTCTCATACCTAAAATATATTTTGATTAATATGTAAATAAAAGTGTATCAAAATTTTATTATAATATATTCGTTATTCATTTATAAATAAACTGTTTAATTATCATTCATATATGAATAATCACATGTTATATTCATATATGAATAAAATGTGTATTAGCTCTCCCCACATGTTATATTTATATGTAAATAAAACATTTATCAGAATTTTGTTACAGTGAATTTGTTATTCATGTATGAATAAGTAGTTTGAATTTTCAAAACACTTCGTTTTTTATTAACATACTACTTATTCATATATGAATAACAAATAAACTATAACAAAAACCTAATAAAAGTTTTATTTACATATGAATAAACATATGACGAGATAATGTACATTTTATTCATATATGAATATAACATGTGACGTAAGCTGATGTAAAAAATATATTTTAGGTAATAAATTTTTTATTACATGTTATATTCATATATGAATGATACTTAAACTGCAAAAAAATTAAGCTTGTGTTTTATTCATAAGTGAATTACGAATGTGTACTAATAAAAATCGGATGCACTTTTATTCACATATGAATAACGATAGCTGAAACTATAAAAAAAATAATTATTTTATTTTATTTTAAAACTATTTCAATATGGATGTCTATTTATAGAGAATAAAAAATTATAAATTTTCATATATTTAATATCTATAACGTCCAAAAAATATGACCCCAAAGTTTTATTTTTAATTTAAATAAAAACAGTATTCCAAAGGCATCATCAATACAATCCAAATAAAATAAGTGTATCAAACATCATCTCAAATCAGAGTAAATCACAAAAGCGGAACTATGTGGTGTGTGCAATCCAGTCATCCCGAGCTCTTCCCCTTGGAACCAGAAGTACCTGAAACTTAAATTGAAAACCGTAAGCACGAAGCTTAGTGAGTTCCCCAAACTACCCAGTACCATACATAATAAATCACATACTGGGACCTCGCCCTCCATCGGGCCCCGCCCGGTATCGAGTCCCACCCGGCTTCGGGCCCCGCCCGACATCGATCCCCGCTCGGTATACAGATCTGTTATTCTTAGGCCCCGCCCACTATACACATAGACATATATATCACATAATCATACTAGCACATGCAATGATCATAAAACAATAGCATACAATACAGTCATCGGGCCTCGCCCAGCATCGAGCCCCACCTGGTATACATAGCAACACATATCACATACAAGGGTCACACAGACTCCTAGCATCCTAACATAATTAACAAGGGTCGGCATTGGTGCCTTAGACCCGCTAAACCCAGTGAGGAAACTCACCTCGACTGCTGAATCACGCGACTGAATCTCTGGCTGCGGTCCGACGAATCCCCGAGCTATGAAAACCAAATAGCATCCAATTAACAATTGGATTCCAATCTATAACCATCAATCCATACTTAGGGTAAAAAGACCATTTTACCCCTTACCTAGTTTGGACCAAGACTTAGGCCCAAACCTATAATCCAAAGGCCCAAAATCCAACTAACCGTTCAAGGCCCATACTTGGCCCAATTTTCTAAATTGGGCCCAAACCCTTACATGGGCCTTACCCTAAAGCCCACCCATTTCTCCTAGTCCAAAACACTTGCACTCAGAGGACCCAACAAGAAACCAAGCACTTAAGCCCAAAAGAAAGGCCCAACCTCGAAGCCCAAAGCACAAAACTCAACAGACTGAGTACGCGGGGCGTACTCAGCTGTATGCTAAGCGTACACGCTAAATGGCTTGTACTTCGCGCGTACAGACTTGTACGCCCAACGTACTCACCCATTAAGCCAAAACCCACTTTAAGCACTTAATGCTTAAGATCAGAAGTCCAAACCATAGATCTAACCCCTAATAAGCGTCTAGAACCATAAAGTCACTGACTTGGTGACTTTGCATGCCCCAAAAAGACCCAACTTCAAGATATAACACTTTACTTTCACTAAATGGACATAATCTCATGCATGGGTGATTATAAACCCTAAAGGTGCCAAATTTATAGACTTTGAACCTCAGAAACACCAAGAGTGGTGTAACGCCCGCAAATTCGGGATAGTTAATCTAGAGATAATAAACGTTAAAAATGACTTTTTGATAGTAGATTATTTAGAATAAATAATCTTAACCAAAGTATAGTATATGTAATAACGATTTCGTACATATAAAGAACGTTGAAATCCGACTTATAACGAAGAAGTTATGACCCGTCGAAGTTTCACGATTAATCCGACACGGCTCCGCGTATCTTAAAAAGTAAATTTTTGATAAAATACTTTTTAGCCTTAGAAATCTAAAAAAAAGTCTTATTAGACATTAAACCTAGATCGTACTTATAGAGAACGTCCAAATCTGACTTCATTTGAGGAAGTTATGATTTTTCTAAGATTCAGTGTAACAGTATACAGCCCGTAAATCGAATTTTAGATCGATCGAACATTAGCTGACACAACCTAAACGAGAATTGAAGATCTCATTAATAGGATCTCAACGATATAAAGACAGTCGAAAACGGACGTCGGATGAGAAAATTATGATTTTTTAACGGACTTTAACTGTCTAAGCCTGTTAAAATATAACTTTAAAAATAAAGTCAAAATTAGCCGACGGAGTCTAAATGAAAGTTGTAGATCTCATCGATACCTACGCGTGGATATAAAGAACGTAAAAAACGGAGCTCTTATGCAAAAGTTACGGATTTTAGAAGATAATTATTTTTTGGATTAACCAACAAGTGACATGTGGCAAGATCTAGGCCACACCTTCTTCCCCACGACTTGCCACCAGATTTTGACAAGTGGCACATTATGCCCAACGTAATTTTTTAGTACGCCCAACGTAATCCTTAAAAAGCCATTACGCCCAACGTAATTCTTGAGTACGCCCAACGTACTTGGACGTTGGCAACTATAAATAGAGCTCATTTCTCACTCTTTTCTTCACACATCTTCAACCAATTCTCTCCCAAACCTCCTAAGCTCATTTCTCACTCTTTTCGGCTCAGAAGTTCTGCCCGCACAGAGCCCGGTTTCTCGCTAAACCACTAGTAAGTTAAGTAATGTTTACCGTACTTTTAGTATAACTTATGTTTAAGTTCATTATCGTTATTATGAACCTATAAACAAGATTTATCAGTGATTCCAAGTCGTTATACTATTTACGGGGATGATGTCTAGGTTGGATTTAGGAGGTGTTTAAAGTGGGATTTCCAAATAGTATACTTCGTATACCAAACGAACCCTACCTCCAATATGATCCTACCTGGTCGTTCCTTAATTGATAGATCTTGAAGTAGACTTTGAGTTAATTATGAATCTAGACTAATAATTAGTCGCAATAAATATTAGACTAAAAC